GTTCTCTTTCTCAATCATAGTTAAAATCTTCTTATTGTCTTTCTATCTGCTGTATAGATTTCTCTTTGTGTCCTTTTTCTTCTCTTTCAGTTTTCTGCAGTTTCTAGCTTTGATTTATATTCATTACTGTTGGCTTCCCCTTTCTTCGTTAACTAACTGCATTCACTTCTCCTCTAATCCAGGTTGGTATTTTGACGGGGTGGTGACTTTTTAGAAATGTGAATGTTAATTAGGAAACACATCTTTCTGTTTAAATTTTTTCTCCAAAATAATTTGGTTCATCTTTGGGAAGTTTTTCATATTTGAGAAGTTAGTTCATTTGAAAAACCAAGTACCTGTTCATGTGTGTATCACCTGTGTGGACTTTATTGTCTTTATATGTAACAAATGTAAACAAGACAATTACATGTACTTAAACTACTACTGATGGTTCGCTTGTGATCAATTATCTGCCAAGGGTGAGTTTTTATACAGAATTCTCTTGTGTTGGATTCAACACATTTTGAGTTAGGAAATTGTTATCCATAATACTTTGCGTTTTGGTGTATCCATAATTTTTAGAGATTTAGTGCATCTGCATATGTCTTCTAGCGTATACCACTTAGATTGAAGTCCCAGTGATAATACATATAATTGCTTAAAGATCCAGTCACCATCACCCTGTTTCTGGATATGATTCGGTGGTGTGCAACGGATACCAACATGTACACCATCTTGTGTTTAATCTGTTAGGACATTTGATAATAAGCATGCCAAAGGCTACAAAAATAAATCTTTCAAGATTTGGGAAAATGTACTACCTCCATATGACCACTCTTGTTCCAAGAATTCCTACCTTAAGACAATAAAGCTGGAATGATGCCTGTTGGAACAGTACAATATATGTAAAACCCTAACTAGGGTACAACAGATGATTGTAGAGATTAGCGTAACAATGAGAGAAGAATAAGAGGGTGCTTGTAATCATACTAAGTTCAGTTTTTCATGATTTATAATTTCCCTAAGGCATTCCACACTTCGCTTATACATTTTTATAGATAGACTATACCTTGACAACCCCTGCTGGCCATCTGCCGAAAGCCATCTGGACAAATGCACTCATAAGATCCATCAGTATTCATGCAGTTTCCTCCAAGGCAAATATCACTGTCTTGGAAGCATTCATTAACATCTGAAATCAAACCATTACTAAATATCAGACGCTTCCAAAACTGAATACATACTTAAAGGCAGCACATTTAATATGCATATATTGATTTGAAGTAATTGCTTATCCTTACTACATTTAAAGAAATATAATCATTTCATTTTATTAACTAAGGTAGTATGATCCTTTACATTTCCTCCCATGACATTCATATCTCAGAACTTTCTTTAATATTTCTATCCAGTCTTAAACCTTGAGTCTGTGTATTGTTCATTCTTAGCAAGAATAAAAAGTACTGAGAAGACAATGAGACACTTTGCAAGAGACTTTTACGTAAATTTCTCCCCTACTTCCATATTTATTGTAATGTTACCATATTACAGGTAAGTACCATATTTTCACACATACAAGTGCCGAAATAAAACACAAAACTTATTTTTGGAAGGCAGAATGTACAAAAAAAAAAGATTTTTCCAGAGTCATGGCACACAGCAAGTCCTCCTGGGAACAGACTGTATCTAGGAAGTGTGGCATCAGGAACTTCCTGGTGTGGCAAACTATCTTCTGTGAGGCCACACGTCCTGGGTATTCTACTTCCCCAGGAGGACTTACTCTGTCGTACAAGGTTAAGCCCTAAGCCCTTCCAAAGGGCCGTAGCAAGACTATTACCTCTTTACTGTAAGCAGGCCTTTATATAAGTTCCGAGAAATAAAGTACAACCTAGAAATAAATACAACCTACACCCCTAGAAATACAGTGTTGTTTCCATTTCACAAGCCTAATCAAGAGGCTCACTTGATGCTTTGGGCATAAGTTTTTAGCAGGGGTAGGCACATGGGGGATCCCCACACCCCCCACCCTCCCTGACACCCCACAAACCTCACACACCCACAGCCTGCCCCATAACCCCCCACATATACACACTCCCCAACATACTTTATGCCCCCACACACAGCCACATCCCCTCACAAATCCCCCACACCCCACAATACACACACTTAACACCTCCCTACCACACCCCACACTCATCCTACCACACCCACACCCACTCACCCTAACATACACACACACACCCCACCATACACCCCCCACACAAAAACAAACCATGATGAATATTCTTTGTAATAAAACTTAAGATACGTTATAGTAGGTGTTTGACTTTTAGTATACGATTTGTTTTATTTCTGGCCCTGAGATGGCAACCCTCCCACCCTCCTAAAAGGAGTACGGGGGGAGGGAAGAGTAGGGATTTCCGGTGGCAAAGTCAGGGGATGGCACTTCCAGTCTCAACATGGTGACCAGGGGGTGGGGCAACTGTTAAGGGGTGGGGCTACCCACAGAGCCCTCAAGAGCTTGCCAAAACTTGTTAAGTGGCCCTGCAATCTAAATAGTTGCCCATTCCTGAGCTATAATGATCAGACAATAGCTATGGCTGTGAGGAATTTAATCCAGGATTTCACCCCTTCAGTTTGCTGAGCAGACACAAGCAGAAGCCATCTTGGCACCTGCATGGCATGCACAGTTTCTCCAAGCATGCTCCTTTTTCAGCAAAGAAAACAGCTTTTCCATTTAAAACACACCCCAATTCTGGGGGCTAATTATGGGGTAAAAGATTCGTGTTGTATGTGAGAAAATGCAATACATTAATGTAGGAACCTCAACTCAATGTATTTTTAGAATACAGAAACACAATGTAATAGTCAATTAAATCAGATTTCCTATGGTACACCAACAATTTTAGTTCCCTGACATGCAAACAAGATACTGTAACTGGAATAACGTGCTGCAGTCTTACTTAAAGTTGTTTTTATAAATGGATTGTGTATATGTTGTGTCATCTGCATTTAAGTGAATATACATGATGTTATCCTCAGTGCATAAATGTTAAGAACTCTGCTTCCTTACCTCTTTTTACATATTGTGCTGCATGTATGCTATGGTGCTAATTTAAGTCTTTTCTGAATCTGCGTATGTTTTGGAACTATTCTGAAATGGGTGTGGGTGGGTGTGGAGGGATGTGGGTCAATGTGTAGGTATGTGTGAGGGGTCTGTGGGTGTGGGGGCTGCTTAGGAGGGGTGGGTCCCCTGCCCCTACAGGGCAGAGCCCCCCCCAGCACAGAGACTACCCTGCCTGCAGGGTCCCAGCCCCTCCCAGGGGCTACAGCTCCCCCCTAGCCCCACCCCCACTGGTCTCCAGCCCCCTGCTCATTCCCCTGCTTGTCTCCAGCCTCTGGAGGCTGGAAATGAGCAGGAGAATGAGTAGGAGGCTAGAGACAGCAGCGGAAGTATCCAGCTCATCTCCAGGGGCTTGTCTCCAGCCTCCTGCTCATCTCCTGCTTGTCTCCAGCTCCCTGCTTGTTCCCTTGCTTGTCTCCAGCCTTCGGAGGCTGGAGATGAGCAGGAGTATGAGCAGGAGGCTGGAGACGAGCAGAGGAATGAGCAGGAGGATGCAGACAAGCTCCTGGAGATGAGCTGGAGACATTCCCCTGTTGTCTCCGGAGGATGGAGACAAGCAGGAGGCTGGAGATGATCAGGAGGCTGGAGATGAGCGGGGGAGCAATTAGCAGGCTGGAGATAATTCAGGGATTCCCTGGTGGACTCCAGGGTCCTGACTGCTCCCCCACCTGGCTCCAGCCTCCTGCACTGCCTGCAGCTCACCAGCAGCAGCAGCGGTAGCGGGGGCCGCTTGGGGCCTCATGCCACAGCCCTCCCTCCTCATGGCGCAGGGCAGTGGGGCTAGGTCCTAGCTGCCTGGCATCTGTGCTGCTGCTGCTGCATTGTGAGGGTGTGGCCAGGCTTGGCAGTGCACTGCACATTGTCTGGAAGCTCAGGGGTGCTGCAGCTGTCACCCAAGGCTCAGCCTGAGCTGCCCAAGCTCTGAGACAGGATGTGGCACCCTGCTGAGCCAGACCGCGCCCGCACAATGCAGCAGCAGTGGTGCCAGGCAGCTGGGGCTGAACCCTGCTACCCCCTGTGCAGGGGGGCTGTGCCATGAAGCCCCGAGCAGCCCTGACCACTGCTGCTACTGCTGGTGAGTGGGGGGGAAGGAGTAGAGTGAGCTGGGAGCTGGAGGAATGAACGGGGGGCCGGGGGAACAAATGGGAGGCTGGGGGAATGAATGGGGAGCTGGGGAATGAACAAGGGTGGGGGGAACAAATGGGGAGTTGGGGAAATGAATGGGGGCTGGGGCCTGGCAGGGCCTCCACATGGTCCCCTCCCCACTCCTCCAGTCCCCCAACCCGCTATTTACTTGGCAAGCTGGGTCCAGGTCCCTGCAGCTTCCACCACTGACTGCCCCACACGGGCAGGCAGCATGCTTCAGCACCATGGCAAGGGCCAGTCAGAGACGCTCTAGCTGGCTACCAGAGCATCTCTGTGGAGGACCGAGCCTCTGATTGCCTCAGGCCACAGTCCGGGACCTGTCCTGCTTTTTTCTCCTGGCATATTTTTTGACCCCTGGATATCCAGGGGTTTGATTTTGCCCCTGCACTGCAAATTTGCAGTGTGGGGAGTGTTTTTTTGTTCCCGCACGTGCCTCTTGCAGCATCTCAAAGGGGTTTGAGATGCTGCAAGAGGCACATGCGTGTTTGTCTGGACACACCCAAGGTTGTTACATTGATTTACACTAGTGTCCTACTCCAAAGCCCATCAAAGTCAATAGCAAAAAATTTAATTTATTTTATCCAAAATGCCTTCCTTCCATTGATTTCAAATGGCTTTAAAGAAGATCCAGCTGAGGATCTGTTTATCAGTGGCTAGATGAATAATATTAACATAACAGTAGCAACTGAAATGATACACTGTGACAAGTGAAGAAGTAATAAGTCAGGTATTTTGTAACAGTAATATAACAAAAGTAATCCAGGTGGCAGAAAATGGACACTAAACAAAATGCTTTATTTCACTACTCCAGGGGATGCCATTGACCAGTTGATGATTTTTCCTACAACTAGAGAGGCACAAACAGAAAACATAAGAAAATAAAGTCTAGAAAATTTCTCTCTATGCACACTATGTTCTGCCTCCTAAATCCAATGAGTCTAGAGAGAAACAAGGTCTTCTTTGGAAAATAAACCTTTTTTCTAATGCTTTATAATTATTGTGCCTTTTACACCTGATTTTCTATCTGACTAAAATAATATCTCATTTTTTTCATTTGGGCATGAATCCAACAAAAAACACTGAAGACCCCTTCAGAAAGCCTGGTCTGGATGAACATGAGGGAGAAGAGGTCACTGAAATTTTCTTTTCTTTTTCTTGTTTTGTTTGTTTGTTTGTTTTGTTTTTTTAAGAGACAGCTTTCTTAAATAAAAGAATGTCCCTATTTTGAATTACTGCTGATGAAATGATGTGACCTTTTGATAACGTGTATTTTTTAATATTGTATATTCAACTGAAAAAAATGGTGGCTTATTTACATGGCAATTAACTTTGACTGGGAGCATGAGAAAAAAAATTAACGACTCCCTTGCGCTGAATAACAGCCAAGCCCCACAACAAGAAAATGCTTTCTGCCAAGTTCATTCAAAGTCAAAATTTATTATTTCTAACATACTACACAAGCTTCCCTCCCTCTGTTGTAACTGTCTGTGGTTCCAACAATTACTGTGCAAAAACTCGAATCAAAGAGGTTACTTAGCGGCACCATAACTGATGTTCTTTGAGATGTTTTGGGGATGTTTAATCTCTGCAAATATTCCATGCATATACTATGCCTTAGAGCCTCAAGGTCTATGTCACTGGCAGCCTCCATTTGGGTGGTGCTTAAGTACTTCATGCCCTTGCCCTGGGAATCAAAATCGTAAAGAGGCACAGCTTGCCCAACTCCTCCTCCTTTCTTTTGTCAACCAAACGGTCCATGGTGTAAGGCAGTAGTTCTCAACATTTTTAGACTCAACACACCCCCTAGAAAATGCAAACTCAATTCTCACTTGTTTTTTGATTACAGAAAAATAATATAGCAATTCATCTGTTGCAAAGAAATCAGAAAGACTATAATGGGGCAGAATGTTTTTAACATTAAG